GATCAAATTATGTCAATCTCCAGCTTTCTGTGAGCTGCAAAGAATCTTTGAAAGCTACAGTCAAAATACTCTCTCCTAAACAAAACTTGGTAGGTTAGGTCTCTAAATAAAATGCCTTAACAATCCTGTGTTTGGTTCCTAGAATTTACAGAGCATCTGCCCAAACTAGGTCAGACAACGAGGTCTTCTTTTTCCAGCAAGGATGATGACACTAATAATTATTTTAAGGCCAAGACAAAAACACATCTTTTACAAGCAGAAAAGGAAAACACAAACTTGATTTTCAAGGGTTTTTTTAGTTATTAACATAGGTTTCCCCCTTTTTTTTCTTCCAAAATATTCCAGACAATCTTCATGCACAAGTCTTTATCAATGCATTCCCATTTCCTTATTCTTAGGATAAGTTAAAGAACAATTTTATGGTCATAATTCTACTTAACCCTAAGTTAAGAAACAAAATCTTTACCCGAATCCAGGTAAAACCAAAAATTGCTGCAAATACTTAAGGAGTTTTAAAATACTAATTTATTAATTAGTATTTTTATTTATTATAATATACTTTATTATAATTTCTTTTTTTTTAGGTATAAAGGGCATCTGGAAACGGGTCACTACTCTCTTCATCAACATGGTACTTTACAGTTTTGTTAAAACAAGTATTTGCGATTTCCTGCTAATACATTACAAGGGAAAATAAAACTAGAGGAAACGAGAGGCTCTCTAATAATCTCTAATTTTAATTTCCAACCTTATATTTAAAAAGAAATTTAAAAACCCCACAAACTTGGCTCTCACCAACATAAACACTATCATTTTAGACATAAATTTCCAATCTGCTACTCTACCCCAAACAAGTTGCAGGAGATTCCTTAGGAAAACCTTCCCGCCTGACTCCTCCTCGAGCCTCCGCCACGGCGTTCCGGGAATAACTTCCCTCGGGAGCGACTTTCTCCCGAGTATCCCGAGGAACGACCAGGGGACATTCCCCGCAGGCCGTTTCGAGCACAGCAGCGGGTTTTTTACGGCTAAAACGCCGCCGTTCGAAGCCGGCGGCTCTTTTGTGTTGCGCAAAAGCAAAGAAACGAGGACAACGCGGCTGAAATCCTGATTTTTAAGGGATGAAACGGAGGATGCTGGTGGGAATAGCTCCGTACAGGCGAACCCCAACCGTGAGGGCGGCCCCATCCAGCCCTCGCCCCAGGGGGCCGTTAACGGCCATAACGGCAGCCGGCGGCGCCCCCGGCCCCTCCCCGCTCGCCACCATGTTGGCGGCCGAGCTCCCCCCTCCCCCCCGCCCTACCTGAGCGGCGACGGTCCCAGCCCCCCCCTCCCGGTGCCGGGACGGCGGCGGCGCGGCCCTCACGGAAGGGGGCGGGGCCTCCTGCAGCCCCGCCCCCGCCTGGCGCGCGCCTACCTGCGTGCATTGGGCGGAGGAAAGGGGCGGGGTTTGGCTGTTCCTATGGCGTCGCTACGGGAGCCTGGAAGGGAGGCGAGGCGGGTGCCCGAGGTTGGGCACGTCACGTGCTGAAGCCGAAGGGTGGCCGCCATTTTAGCGCCTTGCCCTTAGGTGGAGGCGCTGGTTGGTGTCACTGTCCCCGGTGTCACCGTCCCCAGTGTCACCCTGGGAGGACGGTGGAGCCCCACGAGGGGCTGGAGGAGGCTGAGGCTGCTGGCGAGCAGCCTCCCTTGCTGCATTCCCTCAGCTTGTGGGACAGCAATGTCCTGTCAGGGCTGTGAGTGGCCAAGGTGCTGGGAGAAAAGTGAAGCTGGATTTGGAAACCGGCTGAACTGAAAAAAAAAGTGATAAATTAAAAACATATGTATATATATACACACACACATATTAAATGCTATTTCTTTCTCAGTTGGTGCTGGAAGGTCCCTTCCTTTGCTGTGGCCTCCATGTAGGGCTGCAGTGGGGATGGGGTCCCCCTAGGCTCGATTTTTGGTGTCTTTGTAGGAAATATTACATGGTGAATAATAACTAAGTAGTTTGCTGAAATAATTAACTGATGTGGGATAAACCTCTCCTGAGACCAGCTGTCCTCAGCCTGAAGGGTTTGGGTTTAGCTGCTCTGACCTGTGACTAAAGCTGTCAAGGCTCTGAACTTGGATGGTGGGGAGACCTTGGGCCACAAGGGTCACGGTTCTCATAAACCAGGCCAGTTTTCCCCATTTCACTTTTTTTTTTTTTATTTTTTTTTTAATTCTCTTGCTGCTTTAGTTGAGGAGGAGGGACTCATCTTCCTTCTAGACTGGGAGCACATGTAATATTTGAGTGTCTTGAAGTGTAATTTTCCCTTAACCACAACTACTTCGCCAACAAATCACAAGCTAATGAAATTCTCCTTCCATAAAGTCCCTGGGAATTAAATTGGAAAAAAAATTGTCTAAAGGCAAAGTGTCATTTTAGAATCAGTTCCAGTCTGTACAGAGCACAGCTACGTGCTAGAGAAGCCTCAGGAAAACACGGTGGGTTTGTATGAAACTGCCTCCAAAGGAGTTAATTACTTAGTTTGTGCTCAAACTTTCACTGAGTTTTAAATCAAGATATTCAAGGTCCATATTTAATTAAGATAAAACTTACTCAAAGCACTTTAATAGTTTAAAATCAATTTAAGAGTATTTGCAGAAAACAGTATCACCATTTTAGTCAAATGGATTTACAGAGTTGATCTTTGCATAGACCATGGCTAGATAAGGTTATAAACTCTCAGTGATACTGATTTCAAGCCTTAAGCTGCAGTCATTAAAACGTTCTCAAGTATTTCACTGTAAGTGTCTAGGAAAAGTGATTTTGATTTTTTTTAAAGTAGATTTAGTGATGGTTTAATATAATGGCTCATATATATTTTTCAGTCATTTTTGTCTGGCTTTCTGTGGTTCTCTTGTGGTCCACAGACTAGAAGATACAACAAAAATAACAGTCCAATATAATGAAAGGTACAAGTCAGTGTACAAATCAGGTACAAGTCAGGTACAAGTCAGGAAACTGAGTAAATAGAAGACTAATGCATACCATATACTTCAAAAAATTCACTGTCCCTTGATACTTCCCTCCACTAAGTTCCTTATTTTTTATGGCTGTTTGTTATCTAATATTCTTCCCTAAGTATAATCTGTATCTATCTTTTATCTGTCTTTTTCTTCTAATCTATCCTTAGGTATAGCAACTACTGCAAAGAAAAAAAAAATTGTTTATGGTTATTAATGTTGTTGCTTATCGATGTTTCATGCCTATCCAGAAAGAGAAATCTGAGTTGTAAGCTTGCTGGGGGCAGACTAGTTACGTGAAATGTCAGAAAATTTGGAAGATCAACGTTGCTACATCTTTTAAACCTATAGTCTTCCTAAACGTATAGTATAGTCTTCCCTATGGTATTTTTACTAATGGTGGCAGGATTTATTTTCAGAAGTTATTGTGCCACGCTCCTCTTCACTGGTGGTAGCTACTGCTTCTCATCAGAATATCTATCACAAAGCACTTTACCAAGTAAGGCCTTGACAAGGATATCTTTTTTAAGGATTCCTCCCTCCCTCCCTCCCTCCCTCCCTCCCTCCCTTCCTTCCTTCCTTCCTTCCTTCCTTCCTTCCTTCCTTCCTTCCTTCCTTCCTTCCTTCCTTCCTTCCTTCCTTCCTTCCTTCC